AAAAACAGAGAGAGGACGGGCTGCCCCGCCTGCAGAGGGGGAGCTTCAAACAGGTACCTACTGCTTTTTTATTTTATTTTGTTCCTCTGTTCAAGATACAAATTTATGGTGAGGAGCATGTGATGGGCCCATCTTGAGCTATTTGGTTGGGGGGCAGTCGCCTCAAATTACAGTCCAACCCAAACTGCATGGGGAGAGATGGGTCCATGGAAAAGATGCTGGATGCTGTTTGGGAGTGGGGCGGCAGCCAGGTACCCAGTCGTGCTCGCCTTTGAGACAGGTGGTAAGAGGCCACACCTCTGTCCTTAGGTGTGACCAAGAGCCACGTCACTGAGGGTCACTGATGGATGACGGTGGATCCCAGGTTAAGGATGTGAGGGCACTCCTGCTCCCAGCCCTCCGAGCGGCCGTCCACCACCAGCCTGTGCTTGTGGGTGGGTTCGGCTGCTATGTCCCTGGCCTCCCGCATTGTCCACAATGACTGTTCTCTGGGGGAGTCCTTCCAGACCTCACGGCCTACGAGCGAGCCTGGCCTGTGGACCGTGTCACAACTGGCATCAGCACACACACATGGCTGCTACCCTGGCTGAGACGGCGGGCTGTGAGAGCACAGACGACAGCATTCCGGAGCACCAGGGACTAGGCGCCGTGGTGGCTGATGTGCTCCCTGGCAGGAGGGGCACAGTGTTCCATCACAGAGCTGACCTCGGTTCAGGGCAGTGCTTAGGAGGTAGGCCGGTGCTTGGGTCTGTAGCCAGCAGGCCCACCGCTGGCCAGGGTGGGAGGAGGGGTTCTTCCTTCCCCAGTTGGACAGGCAGCTCAAGCGGCTAAAAGCTGACAGGAGTCCCACTGGACGTGCCGAATCGTGTCACAAGGCTCCACTTAGCCCTTGCTTCTGCCTAGTCGGTTCCCAGAGCCAGTCCACACCAAGGCACAGCTGCCTGTAAACAGGCCCTGGGCTGGCTCCCTCTGTGCTTCTATCCGTGGGACACTGGTTCTGCTGGAGGGAACAATGAAGACCTGTTGTCCAACATGAGAAGTCCTAGAAAGGTGGACAGTGAGGCGGGGTGGAGCCTGAGGCCATGGGGAATGGGACACATCTCCTGAATGCAGAGCAGAAAAGTGACCTTTAGACACCACCTTCTACCAAAGAGCTCTGGGTCACATCCTGAAGGGACCCTGCCTCTTCAGCTCTTCCTCACCTCACTCATCTGTGCCGTAGGTCTAAAACCTGCCCTCTCTCCTCCAGCCTCCTCTTCCAAGCTCTCCAATGCTACTCTGTACTCGAGCTAAGCTGAACCTGCCTTGGTTTCCCAACTAAGGCCGTCCCGCTCTGGAGGGGTGCAGCTGCAGACCCTCTCAGCACAAAGGGGAATGCCCCTACTTGTCTGCAGAACATGCTGGGGCCTTCCTGGGAGCCCAGGCAGCTCTGACCTCTCTGCGAACCCCGCCCCAGCTCTTCCTGCACCCCAAGTCCACGCTCCATGCAGCTCTCGCACCACAGCCCTCATCTCACCAGCCAGACATGCCGTGCCCTCCATGCTGGTGGCCTGACTCTCTTGCGGGACTATGAGCCCTCGAGGGCAGGACTGAGTCCTATCCTGCAAATTCCACTCCACACTGCAGGGGCCTGGCACGAGGCTTTTCTCCTGGCAGGTGCTCCGATATCTGTGGATGTGGTGAATGAACTCCGTTTGCATCTTATCTCTGGCCGTGCTAAACCAAAGAGAATCACACTTGTCTTCTCAGAAGAGGGAACATATTCAAATACCAAGAACTGCAGTTCCTGGTAAGACCTTTCAGAAAATGAAGTTAGCAACAGCAGTAACTGAAAACTCAGCAGAATGTCAGTGCTAATGAGGGCACCAGGCCGGCCTTGGCTATCACAGCTAAGCACGACGGGGCGGGGCGCAGGGGCTCCTCGGCTGTCCACAGCTGAAGAACCACAAACAACACCTTTCCTAGGAATCGCATATATTTACACCATGGGTCTGGGGTACGCTCATCACAACAGGTGCTGCTCAGGTCGCCCGGAAAGCCACTGGGCCTGGCACCTTTCCACCGCCTGGGCCAGCACTTCAGCCAGGAGACAGACTGTGTTCAGCTGCAGTGGCTCTGCAAAGTCACTAAGATGATGTCACCTGCTGTCGCCGTCGTCCTCCTCCTCCTCGGTCTCGTTCTTGGGCCAGGCATCACCCCGTGCCTTTGAAGATGGCTGCCCTCTTCAGTTCTCCATGAGGGTCCCAGAGTGGTCGGGGTGACGGGGAGGGCTCTTCGGCCTGGGGGTGGACAGGTGCTCCAGCTCATAGCACCCACTGCCAGCGGCCTTGGTCGAAGGCGTGCCTGCCACGCCCTCCCGCTGGCCCCGTTTGTGCTCGATAATCTGTTGGAGCTGCTGCCCGGCATACCCTGGCTTTGCAGTGAGGGGGCCAGCGGGCACAGCCACCCCGAGGACATCGGACACCATGTAGGGGCGCAGCCACCCCACCAAGGGGGTGCTGCCGGGGCTGTAGTGGGTCTGCTTGTGGTAGAAGAGGAGTCCGTCCACCTACAGGAGGGGAATGGGAACAGAGTGACTCTGGGGCCACGTGTCCCCAGGAGAGCTGGACCCACAGGGGCAGGTCTGTGGTCCAGCTCTTTCCTGGGTCACTGCCAGAGGAAAGAGTCCTCGCTTCACACACGTGGTTTCCCTAAAGGAAGAAATGTCCTAGAAAACGAAATCTGGGGAAATAAAAGCATAAACAGCACCTTCCTGTTTACAGGGAGCTCTCCTACCCGCCACTTCACCCTCCTATCCACAAGGTGCTGGAGAGAAGGGGCCGCTCAGACCCAGGAGCTCTGGGGCCTGCCTACTCAGTGAGTAGGGGGCAGAAGTTCAGCCTGAGCCCAGGTCTCTGTCCCCAAACTCCAGGCAGAAAACTACTCCGAGGTTTCTGCGGCGGGGAGGAACTCCGCGCAGGATAAACTGCAGGGACCTGGACGGCACCCGAGCGCCAGCTGCTGAGCACGGACGTGGCGCCCAGAGCCGACCCCAGCTGCTGCTGCTGCAACCGCCCCTGTGTCGCCTGTGAGCCGTCTTCTGGGAACCACAGTTTTTCTCAACGGGAAGACCTCCTACAGCCCTGCATTTTCCTTCCTGTGATTCAGTGACTCATCTCTAAAAAGCATTGATTATCGCTGGGGCATAAGAGCTATAAATAAAGATGGTGTTCTCACCACCTCCTTAATTGACTCCCAGAAATGAAGGCGACAGCCTTGGCCATGTCTTATTCGGGAAGCTGTGGTCCGCCCGCAGGACTGCACCCCGCGGCTCAGGCCAACATTGGCGGGTGGAGAGGCGGAATTTTAAAGGGTGTGATGGGCAGAGGCAAACTTGTTACAGAGCCTGGAGAGAGGAAGTACAGGGACGGCCCAGGACGAGGGGCTTCGGGCAACGGGAGACTTTCAGTGCGGACGCTGGGCAGGGTCAGCTGTGAGCAAACCGGGATGGGCTGGTTACTCTCCCTGGAACACCCTCCCGCCCCCCGGCAAGTCCTGCCCTGCAGCAGCGTTTTCTCTGCGACAAGTAGGGATTAGACGGAGGGCTCCAACACTTTTTGAGATCTTAGTCACAGAAGCCTCTGTATGTCCAGCCACAGCGGTCAGATGAGAGGCTGGTTCTCAAGCTTAGATCAGAAGAGACATCCATGGAGGACCCAGGGACGGAAGTCCTGGCCACCCCCTCTAAGTCTCAGTTTCTCCTCTGTCTAGTGAGGCAGCTGATGAGCTTCCTTTTGGGGCCCTGCCGGCTCTGGTACCCTGGCCGACCTAGCAGGGATGGAGCGGAGACCCTGAAGGCGGAAAGCATGCCCTCTTGCCCAAATCAGCCCTCAACCCTTCCTGATGCCTGGACATCTGAGACCTTCTCTAACACGGTCTCCCTACACCCTACCATCACATCGGAGCGGAAAAGACAAAGGGTTCATTACCTCAAAAGGGAAATCCATAGACAGTACCTCACACAGGCTCTCGGGGGTACAAGGGAAGTTCTGCAGCCCCACGAATTTAAACTGAAATATGAAACAGAACAAAGAATGAGTACGTTACCAACGAGATGGCCAGGCTAGCAGGTGAAAAGCTCTACCAGAGAACGGTTTCAGGCCCCTGCTCCGCCCACCACCTAAAGGATGAGTCCATGGGTCTCATCTTTCTTTACACACAATGACCATCGGGGAGATGCCGAGAATCACTGATGCCAGCCTCACCTCCAGGCCCTTACTGAGCTGGTCTGAGCTGGGCCCAGGCCATCTGCAAGCTCTCCAGCTGACTTGAACATGCAGTGAGGGGCCAGCCCCCAGCCTGGTGGTTAGGGCAGCTGGATCCCACATGACCAAATACATGGTTCAAGTCCCAGACCTGGCAGCTCAGGGAACATGCCTGGCACATGTATGTGTATGTCCAAAATCCTGAAAGGATAAATGGAGAAGGGGTTATGGCATGACCTTTCCTGAGTGAAGGAGAAATGTCACGCCTCTCTCTCTACCTCTTCCTATGAGCGCGTGCACCCTCTGGCAAATTAAACGAGCAGAAACACGTAGTAGGGACCGAGAATGGCTGTGCTGTACTAGAGGGGCTGTGTGACACGCTGGCCCATGATGGTGCCCCTCATGAAGGGTGAGTAAAACCCTTTTCATGCCAGCAGGGATGTTTCTAAGTTTGCTATCAGGGGCATATGCTTGCTGGAAAGACAGGGAGAGGGAAAGGGAACGTGAGAACTCATCCCACACGGTGGATGGCCACGCCACAATCCCTTCTCCTCTTGCAATTTTGGGCACGCATGCACATGCTCCTGGCATGTTTCTTAAGTCACAAGTCTGAGATTTGAATCATGCACACAGTTGGTTATGGGGGACCCATATGGGGGACTCAACCACCACACCCTGGCTGGCTCCCAGCAGGAACTGTTAGACTGAAGCAGTGTAACAAAGTAATTAGGACTGCACACCCCACAGTAGAGAGCCTGAATCCCAGCCCAGCCAGTCATTTAACCTCTGCGTGCCTCCACTTTCCAATCTGTAAAATGGGAGGATAAAAGGATCTGCCTCACAGGCTTGCTGTGGAGAGTCAATGGGTAACAAGCTCCCCTTCCTCCAAGCATGTTCTTTGGGACCTCCTAAAAACACCGCCAGCAGCAGAGACTGCATTTACTCTATGACTGCTTGCCTAGTTGCCTTTAGACAACTTTGTAAGTGATCTAAACAAATGTCAACCTGCAGAGCGTAGCTAATGAAGCACCCTGAAAATAGCCACTGCATATTTAAACCGCTGAGCAGAGAGCCATGATACCTTGGCTCGTCAGGACCTTGGGACCTGGGGGAAGGCAGTCTCCTCTATAAAATGAAAAGACTGGGGCCAGCAGATGGCATAGGACACTGGATCTCACATGGTCAGATGAATAGTTCGAGTCCTAGACCCAGCACTTTTTTTTTTTTGAAGAGGTTTTCGCTATAGGGCGCATGCGCTCGCCAAACAGAGAGAGAGACATAGAGACAGAAAGCGAGAAATCACCCCCCAGGGGGGATAGTCACGCCGCAATCCCTTCTTCTCCATTCTCCTCTCGGGATCTTGGGCACGCACGCACACGCGCCCAGCGTGAGTTCTAAGCCACTGGGTCCAGGACGCGAACCGCGGTCGACTACGTGGGAGTCCAGCGACATAGCCATTACGCTAACTGCTGGTTCCCTAGACCCAGCACTTTGAAAACCATACTGGACGTGTGCATGCATGCCCAAAATCCCAAGAGGAGAATGGAGGAGAAGGGATTGTGGTGTGGCCACCCACTGTGGCAGGGTGATTTCTCACCGTCTCTCTTTGTGTCTCTCTCCAGCAAACACACACACCCTATGGCAAAAAACTTAAAAAAAAAAAAATGCTGTTTAGGATTCTGGTCCACAGGTTCCCAAATGTCCCCACATCAGTTACAACGAAAGGCTCGATGAAAGACTCTGGGGCCTCACTCTGGCGTTTCTGCTGTAGCAGATCTAGGGTCTCCAGACGTTCTTTAGGGATTCCAATTCAGGCTGGCCTGCTGGTTAAGGAAGCCAGGTCCTACATGGCTGACTGCACAGCTGAACCTCACCCACAGTGGCTTGAAAAACGTGCCAAGCATGTGTGTGTGCCCAAAATCTCAACAGGGCGGGGTGCTTCCCTGCCACCACCCTGATTTCTCATAGGGGCCCTTTGGCAAACTTTTTATAGAAGAATGAAACCAAGAATCACTGCTCTTGTATCTGAGCTGGGAAGCCCATCATCTAGTCAGTGCCTAGTTTTATTTTTAAGAATTATTTTATTTAACTGTTTATGCATTATTATTATATTCCAGTTAGATTAGAGAGAGACAGAGAGAGCAAAAGAAGTAAAATGAGAAAGCAAGCCACCAGGTCCAGAACTTGAACCGTGGTTGGCAACGTGGGAGTCTAGTGCCTTTAACCACCACGCCACCTGCTGGCCTCCAGTCCCTTCTTTTGTTGTTTAGGTTTGTTTTATTATACAACGTGTGCACTTACAGAGACAAAGAGAGAGTGGTAGAGAGAAAGAAAATAAGAAAGCACCCCCCATGGGGGATGGCCATGTCACAATCACTTCTCTGCCATGTCTCCTTTGAGATTTTGGGCACACATGCACCAGTGGCCAGCATGTTGCTCAAGCTGCTGGGTCTAGGACTCGAACTGTGCTATTGGCCACGTCCGATCTAGCTACCTTAATCTCCACGCCACAGTATGGTTCTTACACAACGCTCTAAACTAAATGTCATTCATCTTATTTTACAGACACAGAAATGAAGGTCAAGCAAGGCTATTCACTTAATTAGTGATTATCAGAATAAAAGATGGAATCGGGCGTGGACAGCCGCGAGGCCCAGCCCTCCCATCACACACGTTGCCTCAGCGAAATCCGTTCCTGACGGCACAGAGACAGCGACCCATCCTGGGACCCTGAGGCCGGCCTTACGGGATTGAGCTTGGTCTTCTCTCCTAGCCCTTCTTCTTCTGGCAACTTGGAAAGCATCCAGTAGAATCGGAAGTCGGTCTGCATGGAGAAGGGAAGTGGGGGTTAGATACTCCCTCCCATCACACACGTTGCCTCAGCGAAATCCGTTCCTGACGGCACAGAGACAGCGACCCATCCTGGGACCCTGAGGCCGGCCTTACGGGATTGAGCTTGGTCTTCTCTCCTAGCCCTTCTTCTTCTGGCAACTTGGAAAGCATCCAGTAGAATCGGAAGTCGGTCTGCATGGAGAAGGGAAGTGGGGGTTAGATACTGCTCTTCGCCCGCCGTAGTGAAGACATAAGCATGTCTCTCTGACCCCTATCCCCTCAGAACCATCCAGTCAGGAGGGTGCTTAAAAACCTTTGCAGTGGGGCTGGCAGGTGGCATGCTGGTTAAGGTGCTACACACTCCCACATGGCCGACCATGGTTCAAATCCTGGAGTCGGTGGCTTGTTTTCTCACTTTCTCTCTCTCTGGTCAAATTAAAATAAATGAATGAATAAATAAGATTAAATAAATAAGTCTTAAAATTTTTTGGTAGGCTCATTAGTGGCAGTTAAGCAATCATTTATCACTGAAGGCCTATATGTGTCAGGATCCATGCATAGGCTTTAAGCACAGAATCTTTTTTTTTTTTTTTTAAAGGTTTTACCATAGGGCACATGCGCTTACTGAGAGACAGAGAGAAGTGAGAGATCAGACCCCTGGAGGGATGATCACATGGCAATCCCTTTTCCTCCATTCTCCTCTTAGGATTTTGGACACATGCACACATGCCAGGTCTGAGACTCAAACTGTGGTCAGCCATGTGGGAATCCAGTGCCTTAACCATACCGGCTGCTGGCCTCCAGAAATCATTTTGTTCTGTTAAGTTTATTTATTTACTTCATGAGAGAGATCCATACACCCTCAACAGGGTCTTCACGCCACGATCCGCCCCGAATCTCACCAGCCCAGATCACTGGCAAGTGCACACACACGTGCAGGGGAGGTCCTGGGCTGTGACCTTGGGAAAGGTCTTTGGGAAAGGGAGGACGTTTCCAAGTGGATCCATTGTATCACCGCTGTGCCACCATCTGGCCCAGGTACACAACACCTTATTAATCTGCAGCCCTGGCAGTTGTGTTACCGTTTTCTCCATTTTACAAGTGAGGACTCTGAGGTTGAGAAAATTTAAGCCATTTGTGTGGGTACAAAGAGAAAATACTGTGGGACCCAGGACTTTCTGACTCCAAAACACATACATTCACTGTTTCATTTTAGTCCTGAGCCCTACAAACTACATACAGTTAAAACTCTTCGCAAACTACTTTATTCTCTGAATTATTGATCTATGTACTTCGGTAGCTATTTAGAACCTTCTACCCTTTTAAATTATTTTGTTTGGGGAACCAGCAGTTAGCGTAATGGCTATGTCGCTGGACTCCCACGTAGTGGACCGCGGTTCACATCCCGGACCTGGTGGCTTAAACTCACGCCGGGCACGTGTGCATGAGTGCCCAAGATCCCGAGAGGAGAATGGAGGAGAAGGGATTGCGGCATGACCATCCCCCCTGGGGGGTGATTTCTCGCTTTCTGTCTCTATATCTCTCTCTGTCTGTCTGGCGAGCGCACGCGTCCTATAGCGACAACCTCTCAAAAAAATAATTATTTTGTTTGGGAAAATATAAAACAGCCTTTACCTGGGACTAGCAGTTGACATAATGGCTATGTCACTGGACTCCCATCCCATGTAGTCGACCGCAGTTAGAATACTGGACCCAGTGGCTTAAACTCGCACTGGGCACATGTGCGTGCGTGCCCAAGATCCCAAGAGGAGAATGGAGAAGGGATTGTAGCATGGCCATCCCCGTTGGGAGGAGATTTCTCACTTTTTGTCTCTCTGTCTCTCTCTGTCTTTCTGAAGAGTGCATGTGCCCTATAGCAAAAACCTCTCCAAAAAACACAAACCAAAACAAAACAAAAAAAGTCTTTTCCTTTTTTTTTTTTAAATTTGCCAGAGGGCACGTACACTTGCCAGAGAAAGAGAGAGGGAGAGAACACCACCTGTGGGTGCTGCAACCCCCCCCACCGCTCCTTCCATCCAGCATTCTGGGCACACACGCACATGCACCCAGCATGGTTTTCCAGGTCCAGGACTCAAATCACACAAATGTGGGATCCAGCTCCCTAACCACCAGGGAGCTGGATCTTTGTATTATACCAGTGTAAGTGGTTTGTTTTAGTTACTAAACGTATAGGCTGTGAATGCATGTCACGAAACACCCTTTAACAGAACTAAAGGAAAGTATGTTCTGGATGGAATTTCCATTCTGGGCTAGAGGCACGGCTCTGCATGTGGCCACAGCACTGGACGTGGGCAGCTCTCAGCCCCAGATCTGTGAGGAGACTAATAATGGCACTTCCTTACAGGGTTGTTTTGGGGTTCAATGGTTAGGCTATAGGGAGCTTAGCACAGCAAATCTCTATGGCTGCCACACCAATGAGATTCTCTTTAGAACCTGGAGTACAACCTCCTCTGGAAGTTGGAAACCTGGCATGGGCAATGGCCTTGCTAAGCAGCATCCTAGGGTCAACCCTGAGTCTCACATTTGAGCCTGCACCCTTATGACATGAGCCCTAGGGCCAGTATGTGGTGCGGTGGTTATGGCTGACCGTGGTTCAAGTCCTGGACTTAGAGGCTTGCTTTCTTGTTTTGTCTTTCTCTATCTCTGGTCAAATTAAAATAATAACAAATGGAATTAAATAAATTAATCTAAAAAAAAAGAAAAAAGCACAAGCCCTACCCTATAGCTTCAGACTCAGGTCTGAGAATGTACTCCCCCCCACCTATAGGGCGTGTGTGCTTGCCAGACAGACATAGAGAAAGAGACAGAAAGCAAGAAATCACCCCCCAGGGGAGATGGCCACGCCGCAATCCCTTCTCCTCCATTCTCCTCTCGGGATCTTGGGCACGCACGCACACATGCCCAGCGTGAGTTTAAGTCACCTGGTCCAGGACTCGAACTATGGTTTACTACATGGGAGTCCAGCGACACAGCTATTATGCCAACTGTTGGTCCAAGAATGTACATTTTTTCAATAGATATTTTTGCTATAGAGTGCATGCGCTTGCTGGGAAGACAAAGACAGAAAGTGAGAAATCACCCCCTGTGGGGATGGCCATGTTAGTCCCTTCTCCTCCACTCTCCTCGCAGGATCTTGGGCACGCACAACATACATGTGCCTAGGTGAGCTTTAATCCGCCAGGTCTGGGGCTCAAACTGTGGTCGACTATGTGGGAGTCCAGAGACATAACTAATACACATCTGCTGGTCCCAATCAAAATTTTAAAAAGAAAAACAAACAAACAAACAAACAAAACCCCAGCAGTATGAGGAAAGTGGGTGAGGGGTAGGAGACGGTGCCAAAATTAAACCAGAAGGGAGAAGGCCGGGGCCGCTCATTGCTTGGAACGTCTCCTTCTAGATCCCCCTTTGATTTTGCCCTGCCATTTCCAGGACCAGGATTGGCTGGTGAAGGAGTGCAGGGCCTTCCATTCCACCTTCTCTTCCTGGGGCCGCCTGTGCATGGAGGCACCTCCGCCTACAGCCTGCCCTGCCCCAAGTCCTCAGCCCACACCCCTGCTGCTCCTCTCACCTCCCCTTGAGAACTGCTACGCTTCCCTTAGTTCCTGCTACTGAATGCTTTAAATTCGGCTCATTTAAACACACGGAGAGATGCGGGGGCATTAGATGACGTTCCTGATACACCACATCCTATGCGCGCCGAGAAGCTGTCACATACACACCCGCGTGCTGGGCCATGCTTGCGTTCCGGGAGGGAGGAGAGGGCAGCAGCAGTGTGAGGGCAGGGCGGCCCTTACCTGGCAGTCATAGAAGGGGTGTCCCCGCCAGCACATCACATCCAGGACGTAGTAGGTCTGGTTTGCCTCACTGTAAATGCAATCCAGAATGGTGTAGTCTGGGGACACCATGCAGAGAGTCAGCACAGGGTTCCCCTTGCAACCAGGCTTCCCTCCGCCCCCATCTAGGGACCCATCCCCAGAAGCTCCAGTCCAGCGAGCCGCAGCCTCGGCACTCACAAGCCCTAAGGACTACAACTGGTGAGGAAGGGCACTCTCCAGCCCACCTGGCTACTGGAGTAGTTCAGGGGACAAGAAATAGGACAATGCAAGAGGGATCAAGGCACCCCGTGAGCTGAGTGGGACTCCTGAACTTGTAGATGAACCGGGACATTTACTCACCTAGAGAGGCCCGTGTTTGAGAGCAAGTCACCCTCCTTTCATTTACAACTACTTTATTTTTGGAGAGAGGTTTGTGCTATAGGGCATATGCGCTCTCCGGAAAGACAGAGAGACAAAGACAGAAAGTGAGAAATCACCCCCCAGGGGGGATGGCCACGCGCAATCCCTTCTCCTCCATTCTCCTCTCGGGATCTTGGGCACGCACGACATGTGTCTGGTGTGAGTTTAAGCCACCAGGTCCAAGACTTGAACCACGGTCGACTACGTGGGAGTCTAGTGACGTAACTATTACTCCATCTGCTGGTTTATAACTGCCTTCTGGCTCCTTTTGCAGGTATCGTGTTGCTGGAAAACGTCAGCCCAGAGTGGCCCGGGCCTGTAAGGAAGCTGCAGCCCGGCTAAGGAGCGGTGATGCTCAGAGCTGAGTCATGCAGGTCCACTCAGCAACAGGAGTTCCAGGAGAGAGACTGGAGCAATAGGAAGGCACAGGGGGAGAAGACAGCAGCAGAGTCTTCTGGGGTCTGGAGGATTTAAACCACAGGGCAGAGGGAAGGGGGAGTGGCGGGAGCAGGGGGCCGGAAGCATGGTGAGCTGGCAATGGGTGGGGAGCCAGGAGGTGAGCTAGGAGGCTCCTGAAGGGGACAGGAGACCTTGGTGCCTATCGAGGACGGTCATCTCTTCTCAGTGGGGAAGTCTGGCTCCAGACAGAGGGAGTCTGGGCAACAGAGAAGAGAGCAGGGGTCAGGGCGGCTCTGCTGATTGCTCCCGAGTGACTGTGGGCCAATGAGCTGAGCACCGGGCCCTCAGCGCTCGGCTAGGCAGGTGGGCAGGAGAGGCTGAGGCCAGGACCATGATAAAGGACAAGAGGAAATCTGGGGGGAGCCCCAGAAGCGAGTATCATTACCCTCGGCATTTTCTTGGGACCATCCCCAAAAAACTGCGTCTGTCACCTGGTCATGAGGTCCAGGGCATGACCTTCATGGGGAGTTCACAGCCCAGCAGGCCTCACAGGGCTAACGTTATTCTGTAGCTGAGGAGGCCAGACTTGAAGGGGAGGCCTGACGCCTGGGACCAGTAGGCCATGGGGACAGCCCCAAAGTGGGTCTTTAAAACAAGGAACCAAGTCAGCCCAGTCATCCAGTGGTTAAAGGAGCTGGATCCCACATGGGCAACCGTGCAGTCTGAATCCCAAGCCTAGAGGCGCATGTGTGCATGCTCGGTCCAGCAGGACCAAGGAACGGAGAAAGGGCTGCAGCGCGACCATGCGCCACCGGGGTGGTTCTCCTCTCCCTCTCTGTCTCTGGCAGAATCACACAAACACACAACTGACCAAGCACGGACACGGCCGCTTACTGATGGGGACGTGACGAGCAGACACCCCGCAGGTACCTTTCGCAGTGCTTGAGCGCTGCCTGTTGCCCCCCGGCAGCAGGGACGAGAACCTGTTGACACAGTAGCCACTCTTCGTGTAGGCACTGGTCCAGCCCTGCAGAGAGGTGACCGTCCTTCTTAGACACGAGATCGCCTTCCCCTGGCTGCCTCATTCTGAGGTGTCCTCAGCCCGGAGACGGCTCTCCACACCCTCCGGCAGGAAAGCGTGGCAAGCCCCAGTCCTGGCACGACTGTTAGGGCAGATGGGGAGAAAAGAGTCCCTCCCGCAGCAGACCAGGCCTTTGGCAGGGAGCGCAGGGGACAGCCACTCACCCGGGAGGCCACGATGAGGGCTCTTTTTCCAACAGGGCACACGACCACAATCCATTCCTGCCCCAGGTCTGAAGGAACGTCAATCAGCCACTCAGAGAGCATCAGCTGGGAACAGAGGACACCGTTGACGAGCAGCAGGGCCCGGGCTGGTGCAGGCGGTAGCAGACTGAAGTGCCAGGCTGGATGACACGGGAGCACCAGGTCTGGGCCCCGAGCTGACCTGGAAACAGGCCGAGCGTGCACGTGCCCAGGACTCTGCCAAGCTGGAGGGCTGCAGTGTACGAGACCTTGTCGAGGGTGCCTGCCTCTCTCTCTGCACGCTCTCATGAATAAGATAAACACATTTAAAAAACAAACAGGCTCAGCAGAGGTGTGCTATGGCAGTGCTCACAACGACAAAGCACCTATGGCCTGCATGTGCCAGACGTCTTCAGAAAGATCATGGAGCGCCAGCCCATGGCCTGGTGTTTCTGGGAGCTGGATCCCACATGGCAGACTGCATGGCTTGAGGACTGGACCTAGCAGCTTGAAAAACCGGCCAGGTGAGAGGGGATTGCATAGTGACCATTCCCCATAGAGGGCGCTCTCTCCCTCTCTGTGTCTCTGGTGAGCTCATGCACCTTCTGGCAAATTAAAAAAAAAAAAAAAAGAATGAGGACAGAAAAGGCTGACAGTGGGACCTCCGCCCCACAGGCTCTCAGCAGTCAAGCTTGTTTCCTGCGCAGTTGACAGGACAGAGGCCACTCCCTGTGAACTTCAGCTCCTCTGCTGGACCCCGTGGCCTGCACCCACCACCGTCACCGCCTCCCACTGCTGGGCTGAGGGACCTCTTCCGTCCCTGTCACCATAACTACGCTGACCACGGGCTCCACCTCCGAGATGAAGTCCCTGACCCTGAGACGCATTTCTCGGACTGATACCCAAATACATACGCCCAGCGAGTTTCTCAAGCTGCCAGGTCTGGGACTTGAAGTACAGCTGGCCATGTGATCAGGCTCCCTTGACCACCAGGTTAGCCCACTATAGGCCAGAGGAGGCCTCCTCACTGCCAAACCATCCCTTCCCTCTCCCTGCTCCCTCCCAGCACTGCCTGCCCTGGGTGAGGCTGCTATTCCCATGTTAGCTCCAACATTCTTCCACACTCCCTGAAAGCAACGCACTTTTCCGGGGGCTGCCTTATAGATGCTATCCCCCTTGCAGAGAGAGCTCTCTCTTTAAAAAAAAAAAAAAAGAATTCTTTTTAATATTTATTCATTCGTTCATTTTAATTTGACCAGAGAGAGGCACAGAAAGAGAGGGAAAGTGAGAAAGCAAGCCACCAGGTCTGGGCCTCGAACCGTGGTCAGCCATGTGCGAATGTCCAGCACCTTAACTACCATACCACCTACCGGCCCGATCTCATCTACTTTTACAGCTGCACCTGTCATTGCTGATCCTCCTCCTCCTTCCTCTCTAGACCTCCCTCTCTCCCTCCAGGTCTGTGCTGCCCACTACACCTTAAACCCAGTAAATCCAAGTGGGACTCACTACCTTCTGCTGCCAAGTAGGCCCCAGCCCTGGAGCACCCTCCCCTCCCCTCCTGCAGCCTGGAGCCCTGTTAATGGCACCATTGCACTCTGAATCTTAAGTTCAAGGCATGCTCAACTCTCCCTCACAGGATGTAGTGAGAAAACACCAAAAGTTCAAGTGACACTTGGGTGCGTGTGTGTGTGAGTGTGTTCGAGAGTGTATGTATGTGCGCCCCAAATCCTGATGGTAACTGCAGGGGGGGTTGCGCTCGCTCGCTCTCTCCCTCTCTCTCTCTCTCTCTCTGGCAAACACATGTGTTGGATTGCTGTTAACAATCATTCTCAGGACCAGCAGATGGCATAGTGGGTACATTGCTGGATTGCCAGAGTCAACCACAGTTCAAGTCCCAGATCTGTCAGCTTGAAACTCAAACTGGGCACATATGCGTGTGTACCTAAAGTCCCAAGAGGAGAATGGAGGAGAAGGGATTGCAGCATGGCCATCCCCCTCATTTTCTGTCTCTGTCTCCGTCTCTCTGGCAAGTGCACACGCCCTTAAAACAAAAAGCTCTCTAAAAAAGAAAATCATTCTCAGCAGTTCTCTGCAATCTGATGGTCTAACCCCTGCGTATCTTCGAGGCCTTTCACATCCCTTCTGTTGCCCCCTTCCCATCTGCCTGCTCCATCCTCACTGCCCTGTAGCCTGCTCCTGAACAGGCCCTGTGCGTCTTCTCACCACCAGGCTCTCGTTCAGCGTCTGCTGCCCGGAATGCCCTGGACCTCTGACTGTCCATGTCCTACCCACCCTGAAGGCTGCTTTCTTCTTCTTGAACCTTCCCAACTTCACACCTTTGTAACCGCCCTGGTGGGAAGGAATCTCACTTTCTTATTGCAAAAACCATGGTCTACACTTACTCCAGGTCAGGGCTATTCCTGGTCCGTGTCTCTCCCCTGTGGCATGGCCGACCTGATTTAACCCAGAGGAGGTCCTTCAGCAATGCTTGTGACCAGAACTGAACTGCACTTTGTCACAGAGGATGTTCTGTGTTGTATCTGGGGCACAGAAAGGGATGTGGGGCACTCTGCAGCCACATGCTGAGGGCAGGTGAGGACTCCAAGGTGATAGATGCTTGGGTTTCACCTTCTGGAAAACCTGGAACGTCTGCGTGAGGTCAGCCTCCACGCCTGCTCCCCCGTGACATCACAAGCTACACTGTCTGGGCCTCTGGACCTAATTGGGATCTAGATCCAAGTCTCCTTGTGCTCTGCTCCTTCACGACCTCCACCATCTGCTGGCCAGCCGACTGGCCAGGCTGCATGGGCAGGCCCGCTTCACTCTAGGGTGGCTGTGTCTCCCACCTGCTCGAACCAGCATGTGAAGACCAGCACTGTCTGGGGACCACTCCTGACCACATGTAGGGCCCGGGGCGGGGCTGGGTAGTCCCAGACCACAACTGCCGGCAGTGCCTACTCACGTGATGGGGATGTGGGGTCTGTCATTGCAGTGACGGCTCATGGTTCCGCAGACCTGAGACCTGAGCCAAGAGTTTCCACACCCAGTACTCATGGGCTCCACCGAGTGGAGGTCCTGAGCACCTATGCCAGCCTCACCATCCCGGCTTTCTGCGTACAGCACTCTGAGGATTCCAGGCCTCGCTTTGAGACACGTTTACTGGATGGGCTCTGGCTAAACCGTGGAGGGCAGGGGCTCGCAAGACTGCCCCTCTCTAGACCGTTCACCTGGTTAGCATAGCGCTTGGGAAGCTTCTTGCCAGGGTCGACATCCATGTCTTCATCGGCTTTCTTATCTTCCTCCTCACTCTCCACCTCTGCCCAGTCATCCTCGGCCAACCTCCTGGCATGGTTCACGTAATCCAGCCGCTTGCTGAAGAAAAAGAACAGAGGACAGACAGGCCTCAGGTCATGCAGGAAGTTGTCTGCAGTGGACATTTCCTGCAAAGGCTCTACAGGGGCAGAGTACGAGCCGATGGGACGTCCTGCACCTAGGGCAATACAGTCAGCTGCTCCTCGCGGATCCTAAACGGGACCCCCCCAACCACACTTAGCCTTCCTCAGGGCTCCCTACAGGTGGGCAAAGAAAATCTTTTTTAAGCTTTTCACCATAGGGTGATGCGCTCACAAGGGAACGAGCAGAGTGAGTAATCACCCCTTGGGGGTGGTCCGCTGCAGCCGTCTCCAGTCTCATGTCAGGATTCTGGGCACACATGCGCACGTGCCCAGTGTGATTTTCAAGCTGCCAGTTCCAGGACTTGAACTGCGGTGACAACCATATGGAATCTGGCGCTTTAACCACCATGTATTTGGCCACGTGTATTTTGAATTTTGAACAATATGAACATGATACCTATTCCAGAAAAAATAACTATGAAACACAAGGTAGGGTAGTGGCAAAGGAATCTGGGACTGCCATCTGTCTGCAAGCCAGAGGCCAAAGGAATCCTCTCTGTTGGACATACCTGGGGAGGGTGCGCCAGGCCCCTGCAGCCTGTAGGGGAATCCTGCAGCTGTCAGGGGCTGCTCTGGCCACTGTGTCCTAAGTAACGGCCCAGAAAAAGCTCCTGCTGCACCCTGCCCCAGAGCAGCTCAGCTGCACACGCTGTTGTCCTGCCCCTGCCTGTTGGCCCTCGGCAGCAGGGTTAGGATTAGGGTTAGGTTAGGGTTAGGACATAAGTGTATGGACGCATCTCCTCAGATCCCCGTGGTGTCATTTGTCTTCAATGCCCAACAGCCCCACACACAAGCTCAGGCTGACTGCGCACCAGAAGGCCGTACCAACACCAGGGTGGACAGCATGGGGGAAGCCACACATAGGCAACCCAGGAAATGTGGGGAGTGGAAGTCTGGGTGTGGCCTGCACAAGTCCCTAAAGCACAGAACTTAGGGCTGTTGCCAGAAAAAAAATTAGGAAAATGTAACCAAGTAATTAAGTTTTTGCTCTCAAACTTCAGACTGCCCTTACTCCCTCATCTCCTCCGAATCTCTGAGTATAAAAGTGGCCTACCTCCTCCAGGACTTACCCCTCCTGACCCTGGGCAGGAAGAGCAACCCAACCCTTTCAACGAGTCTCCTTTGAAAGGGTTCCGGAGGGAGAGGAGCAGCCTCCCGAAGGGCCCCCAGCCCCCAGCTGAAGCGCTCATGCATCCTTACGACTTCTGCAGCTCCAGTAGTCGGCGCCGCCGCTCACTCTGCTCCAAAGAGCTGTACTTGGATTTGTACTGGCACAGGCGGGGGTGCGGGGCAGCTGTGCTGTTCAGATCCTGAGACACAGAAAAGCTACTGGCCAGGGCTTCACTCAGCTCTTCCATCTTCCCTACAAAGGAGAGCAGAGAAAAATGGTCCACTGGTTTCCTACGGGCTCCTGTGCAGACAGGATGTAACGGGATGGCTGCTGCCCTAAAACCCCCGCTGAATCCAGTCACAACGCCCTCCTAGGGGGAGAAAAAGAAGCTACAGGGCATAGGAGTTACATATTAGCTGTACCAGTGTTGTTTCCTGTAGACATCTCAATAGCTCTGAGGATACAGATAGAAACCTAAATGTTCAGGCAGTCCAGTGGCACAGTCAGTGCTGGAAGCCACATGGCCAACTGGCTGACTGTGAGTTCGGATCTCCAGGCTGGCTTGAAAGTGTGCTGAGTGCATGTGTGCACATCCAGGATCCTGACGGGTTGGGGAGCGGGGATCGCAGCGCGAGGACTGTGCCTAGGGCGCGTCTGTCTTGTATGCACGTGCAAGCATTATCATAAATATACTTAAAAACAACCAGAACCACCCACTAAGCCTATCCACCCCATGCTTGAAGGGACCTTTCTCTCTGTTACCATCACCAGGAGCCCTGTGGCAATGTCCAGCCATGTGACCGGGCATCTGATCTCTTTCTATGTAGCGCTAACTAGTGATCACTCGAAGACTACTAATGATTTGACTCTGATGCGCATTTCACCCAGCTGGTAGTTCAGTTCTCTAATAGATGCCAACTCATATTAAGAAAATGGAGCTCCAGGAGAAATACTAGTTCTGGGCCTCTGAGGGGGAATAAGTGGAGCCAAAAATTCCAAACCAGCAGCTGTGTTCTTGTTTTACAGTTTGGTTTGGCTTTGTTCTGGGTGGGAGGAAGGAAGGCTTCAGGGCTCCTATACGGGACTCACTTGGAAAACAGGCAGGATGTGCACGGCTGCCCACCGCCAGGAGCGAGGATTCCTGTTAGGAGGGCAGGGGCGGTAACTACCCCAGTGGGGGGGAATACCCAGGTGGGCCCCAAAGCCTGGAGGTGGAGAGATGGAGGTGAGCTCACACTTCACACTGAGAATGAAGAGATGAGGCGCCCAGGAGCCACCCAGCGGTTGAGCCAGTAAGAAAAGAGGAATAACAGGGGAATCCATCTCACACAGTGGCCCAGCCCAGCCCAGCCTTATAGCACGAGCGTAAACCACTGTGTGAGCCAGAGGGCACTGCGAGTGCTTAAACTCTACCCCAGCTTCCAGTGCTCTGAGCACCAAAATCATGGTTCAGTCCAGAGACTCCATAGTTAAAATACAATTCCAGGGTCAGGAGGTGGCACACTGGTTAAAGTGGCTGGATCCCACACCACCGCCTGCAGTTTGAGTCCCAGAATCAGCAGCTTAAAAAACATACCAGGTGGGGACCAGCAGGTGGCGTGGTGGTTAAGGTGCTGGACACTCCCGCATGGCTGACTACGGTTCAAGTCCTGGACCTGGTGGCTTGCTTTCTCACTTCCTCTATGTGTGTGTATGTCTGGTTAAACTAAACTAAATGAATGAATAAATAAAATTACATAAATAATTATTAAAAAAAAAAATACCAGGTGCGGGGCCAGCAGGTGGCATGGTGGTTAAAGTGCTGGGCTCTTACATGGCTAACCATGGTTTGAATCCCGGACCTGGAGGCTTGCTTTCTCATTTTCTCTCTCTATTTAGCACACATGCCCTGCAGCAAATTAAAATAATAACAATGATTAATAAATAAAATAAAACTTAAACAACATACTAGGTGCATGTGCATCTATGCCCAAAATCTTGAGAGGAGAATGGAGAGAGGATTGCAGTGTGGTCATACTTCCGGAGGGGGTGCTTTCTCACTTTCCCTCTCTCTGTCTCTTTCTCTCTGTGTCTCTCTCCAGCCAACTGTGGTACCCTATAACCTATTAAAAAAAAAAATCATGATTTAATAAATAACAAAAAAACTCCATAGGCCTCTACTTTTTTAGGAGGAGGGATATAATTTCTTTCTTTTTAAAAAGAGAATTATCTATGTGGGGAGCCAGCAGGGAATATGGTAGTTAAGGGTGCTGGACTCTCACATGGCCAACTGTGGTTCGAATCCTAGACCTGGTGGCTTGCTTTCTCACTCTCCCCTCCACCGCCAGTCAAATTAAAATAAACAAATAAAGTTAAAATAAAAAATAATTATTTCTTTGGGATCAGTAGATGGCCTAAAGGAGCCAGTTTCTTTCTGTGTGCCTCAATGAAATCTAATGAAAAATTCGTCCCACCTCTGTAGGTGTCCCATCGGGAGCTGCTCACTCACCAGCATGTCTGTGTTCCCTTTACCAGGCTCAGGTCCTGTCCTATTGAGATGGACGAAGGCAGAGGAACAAGCCTTCTGGGTCTTGAAGTCTGCTTCTGGTGAGTGCCCCAGCTTTAGGCCTCCCTGACATCTCAAACCCGTTCCAACTGTACATGGCTGAGTCAAAGGGTATCATGAAGAGGGTCCTAATGCAAACTCTGGGACCACGATAGCGGCCTATGGCCTACTTAACCAAGGGACTAGACTCAGAGGCATCAAGGTGGGTCAAATTGCCTGTGCAAACAGAGTATTCACAGATGTCGCCCTAAAGTCAGCAGGGCCCCTGCAAATCCACCCACACTTCCTCCTCGAACATTTGCCAAGAAGTCTAGATGCACTCTGGAGGAAAAAAGAATTAGGTCATGCCCTAAGTGCCACAGACCAGCCTGAGGGATGGAAAGAGCTGCTTGACGGGCGACTCCTCCTCCCAGACGCTCTAGGATGGGGCCATCTCCCTACTCCATCAGAACACTCATCTAGGGAAACAAAGGTAACAGGACTTCTCAAGAGGGACTCTCATATTCCTGGACTGACAAAAGTTGCCAAAGACACAGCCAGAAGATGTTGCATCTGTGCTCAAGTAAACCCTGGGAAGTCAGTTCCCCCATACCATGGGACCAGACTCTGAGAACAGAGCCCTGGAGAACACTGGGGGCTCGACTTCACCGAGCTCCCTCATGAGGCGGCAGGGCACCACCCCTGCTGGTGTTCATAAACACTTTTTCTGGTTAGGCAGAGGCATACCTCACCAAATCCAAGACAGCACAGGTAGTTGCTTCACATTATGGTCTCAAATTGTCCCACGCTTTGGGTTGCCAGAAACTCGGGTCCAACAATGGTCCGGCGTTCACCACCCGTGTTACTCAGATATTGGCAAAATGTTTAAAAATGGAGAACTTCACTGTGTCTATCAACCTCAGAATTCAAGACAAGTACAGAAAATAAATAGGATGCTTAAAAAAGCTTGAACCAAGTGGAAGTTGGAGACTGGTGAAAACTGGGTGAGTCTTCTTCCTTTTGCCCTTCTGCGTGCACGTTGCACCCCTTACGCGTAGGAATTGACCCCCCCATTTTTTTTTTTTTGGAGAGATTTTCACTGTAGGGCGCGTGCGCTCGCCAGACAGACAGAGAGAGACATAGAGACAGAAAGCGAGAAATCATCCCCCAGGGGGGATGGTCACGCCGCAATCCCTTCTCCTCCATTCTCCTCTCGGGATCTTGGGCACGACGCACACGCGCCCGGCGTGAGTTTTAAGCCACCGGGTCCGGGACACGAACCGCGGTCGACTACGTGGTAGTCCAGCGACATAGCCATTACACTAACTGCTGGTCCCCAGGAATTGACCCCCTTTAAAATAATGTTTGGAGGGCTGCCTCCACTTGTCCCCAAGACTGATGAGGAGATAAAAGGGGAACTTTCCAACCATGCCTTTTTGAAGTCCCTGCAAGCCTTACAGGTATCAGCAAAAGGAAGCAACACCTTCTCCGGGAAGCTTACCAGCCTTCAGGTCTTCAACCAGGTGACAGCTGCTGGCAACCTGCAGCCTGGGGACTTGGTGTGAATATGAAAGCAGGAGTCTGCCTCGCTGGAGACCTGTTCGGCTGGTCCTTTTCCCGTCGTGCTATGCCAACTGTAGTCAAGCTGCATGGAGCAACGTGGGATTCACCACACCCAAGTACAAAGGACGACCCCCACTGGGACTGACGAGTGGCATAACCCCTTGCGTAAATCCTAGCTTGTTTCGGAACCCTGGGTTTCCCCACACTTTGGAGTTTTAACCTAAATGCACTGTTACTGGGACTAGCAGTTGTGTAATGGCTATGTCGCTGGACTCCCATGTAGTCGACTGGGGTTTGAGTCCTGGACCCAGTGGCTTAAACTCATACCGGGCACTTGTGCATGCGTGCCCAAGATCCTCAGAGGAGAATGGAGAAGGGATTGCAGCATGGCCATCCCCCTGGGGGGTGATTTCTCGCTTTCTGTCTCTGTCTCTCTCTGTCTGGCGAGCGTATGCGCCCTATAGCAAAAACCTCTTTAAAAAAATGCACTGTTACTCTAGGGAGTGAGGCTGAGAGAAAACAAAACCCTAAAAGTCCTCTCAGCCCAGGTAAATAAGGACCTTGACTAACTGGACTAGAAGAATCCCTCGGCTCATTGGCCAAAAGGATTTACAAAACAGAAGAGGCTTAGTTGTTCTTAAAACAGAGAGGCCTATGTTTGGGATCAAGTAAAGCTTGCTGTTTTTACACCAACAAGTCTGGGGTGATAAAAAAAAAAAAGTTTAAACCAACTGAAAAAGTGGTTACTGGTAAGAAAGGAAAACTAGTTTAACAATGAATAGTTCTAAGTAGCCATTATTGTCCCATTCTGGTACAATAAACAGATTCAAAGATTTTAATCTTGAAAAAAGCCAGTGGGGAATGTGATAGACTAAAACAGGTAAGAAAAATGGTGTATGTTAGGCTAAGATGCATCCCGTAGGCCCGCCTCACCCACCCCATCGAGCAGAGTGAAGACAAGGTGTGGTTACACGTAAGGAAAGACACGCTGCTCCGCTCTGTACACTAACAGACTGCTGGTAAAGGAATACAGCAACCCTTGCAGACCTTCCTCCCTATAGCCCTCTCACCCCCACCCTTGCCAAGTGTAATGTTCCCCTGTGAGTTTGGTGCTTAAATGCTCTGCAAAGCTGTGGATCAGGGCTGTCGAAAAAACAAACCACTC